AAAATGGAGCCGCAGTACGATCTTGCTTCTCTTCCTACTGTCGTCTCCCACCTTTGTGATGTAATAGATGCGCGGTTTCTTGGTGTGAGTTGTAGGCCTATAGATCAAACAAAATTTGCATTGGGGGCCAAAGAAGTTGAAGTGCTGTTGAGCGGAGCTGAAACGGAACTGGGATATTTGTTGCTCTCCCCCGATATTACGCCAGAGTGTTTTGCCAACATTCTGCCAGGATATTCCGGTAGTATTCTGCCAGGATATTCCGGCAGTATTCTGCCAGAGTATTCCGTCAGATATCAAATTTTACGCAGCGGAACTGTAGGGAAGTCTTGTTTGTTAAACTGCCCGGTTTATAGTTAAAAGTTCTAACAAATCGTAGTCCTGTTTAACAACATGGTACCAGGAACCCGAATCGCGGCTAAAGAAGCCGACAAGCGATATTTGTGGCAGAATCGTTCGCGATTCGATGGGACACGGCACCTTTATGGTGGGAATGTCGCGGAAAACCCATGAAAAGATGGCCAAGAAGCTGCCACAAAAAAAAACTGGAAACTACCTATGGAAGGCAGAGAATAAAAGAAAGGTGTATCTTGCCTTGAAAGGTACGCAGAAGATGTGCTGCCAGGCTGAACCTGAGGCAAAAAGGCCGGTGGTGTAGTGGTAAAACGTTGAGTTCGGATGCGACGAAGGTTGGTTCGTTTCCCTCCCGACCCAGAACAGTTTCCAGAAAAGAGCTCCGTCCACAACATCTATTACAATACGCAAAACTAGGTCTTTTTTCTTCTGTGACTGCATTTGAAATGGAATTCGCGACTGTCTGTACCTGATCCATCAGTAGGAAACAAATGTGACCGGAATGGCCTCGCTTTTCTAAGCTCAGTAGCAACCTTAGGACGGTCAGTTCTCCCACTTTCCTTGGATTTTTAGGAAAACAGATCAAGGAAGATTCGATGTGAAAAGAACTGGTTCGATTCCCTTCCGATCCAGAACAGTTTTCAAAAAAGGACTCAGCACAGTCAAAATGATTTACCCAGGACTACTTTTTTCATCGAAACAGAATTCTTCCTAAGACCACCCGGTCCTGCATTGTTATTTTTTCTTTTTCTACAGGCACAGATTCAGGATAAAAGCAAGTAAGGGAAAGGGTTCCATAAGTATACATGCAAAATCAGAATTCATGCATTACACTTTGATCGTGGGCAGCACAAGTGCATATTCATGCATTCTTATGCATTGCATTGTATGTCTATTTGTACTGATGAAGGACTGTGCGCTGCGAGAGCAACTCGAAATGTTTGGATGGCAGGACCAGGCCCTGAAC